CAATAAAGAAAAGTTGGAAAACTTCAACGGAAGTCTTCTCTAAAAAATACACAAAAAGTTAATTGCAAAACTAACATATGCTTCGACCAGAAGACTTTCGTGTAAGTCTTCTCGTGAACAAATCTGGGAAAATAATTCGATTCATACCTTCAACCACTGAGAAAACTTGCTTACTAGTTCCCAAAGCATACAAAACTTCACCACGACAGCTACCCAATCGTTAATGATCATGAGCTTGAATGGCTATATGAACCTGAAAATCTCTAGAATAAAAAACCTTGGGTTTATTGGATGAATATAGAGATAAATTGAGAGAGATGTAGTTTTTTGTAGACAAGATATGAGATAGAATGAGCCAAAATCGATTTTTTGATGCATTAAGAGCTTCATATTGATTGTTCATGGTTGTTGGTTAAATTGATGGAAACGGCATTTTCGTGAATAATTGATGAAGATGAGGTTGATAGAGTAAACACACAATTTTCAAAAAAAAAAAGTTGTGGCATTTTCGTGAATAATCAGAACTTCTGGGGTGAATAGGGCAAGTCATAATTCCATCAAAAAATATGTTATTTATGTATTTGACTTCAAGAAATTTTGAAAAACACCCTTAAATCAATTTGTATAATTTTTGTTTTTGTAAATAATATTTTTTTTTTATAATTGTCAAAATAAAACTAATAAGAATTTGGGAAATTTTCATATTTACAACATTATTGGTACCATTATTCATCTTTACCTTCACTTTTTGATCAAACCATTTTTCTTAAAACATAATCATACTACAGAGTTTGCAATCTCAGGGAGATTGTTTGATAACAGAAGCAGAGCATTGTTCGCCAACAGGTCAGCAGGACCATTACAAGAGCGAGAGATAAACTTAAAAGAGATAGAAGAAAAGGAATTACTCAACACGCCTAAGTCATGGAGAAATCCTCGAATCGCGATCACAGTTTTGTTACCTGTGATTGCATCAATAAGAACCTTAGAATCTGAACATCAGATTACGTCTTTGATATGAGAGGAGATAGCCTCCGACAGGCCAGCTTTCATCGCTAGAGCCTCTGCTTGTAGAGCTGAAGCAACATAGCATAGTGACTTGGTTACTTGGAGGGTGACAGTGCCTGAGGAGTCGCTACAGATCCACCCCAGTCCACCTGCAAAAGACTCAGCCTTCCAAGCAGCATCCGTACAAATAATGTGTGCGTTTACTGGAACCCGAGGTAAAGAGTTCGATAGGGGACAGTCTTTAGATGAAACAGTGATTTGTTTGCGGGGAGGAATAGAAGATTGCCACTCCTTTGCCGCTCTGATAGCTTTTTCCATCATCTCCGTTTCCGAGAAAGACTTATCCTCGAACTGCAATTGATTCCTGCTAGTCCACAAAACCCAAAAGATCCAAGGGTATAAAGGAATAGATAGGCCAGTGGGAGGAAAATTTATCATGTGTGCACACGCCTTTAGCAACTCCTCCATTGAAAGACCCATAGAGATCGAGGGGATCCTCAGCGCTGGAGTCAGAGCCCAAACCTTCTGCGCTATAGTGCAAGAGAACATGACATGGACAATAGATTCCGGCTCACCACATCTCTTGCATTTACCATCCACATGGATCCCTCTCTTTGCCAAAGTCTCACCCACAGCTAAGGCATTATTCTTTAGTTTCCAAAGGAAATGGCGCAATTTTGGAGAGCATTGGACATTCCACACCAGCTTCTTCCAGTTGAAAGAATCGTGGGTCTTACCATTGTGGATCTTGGCTAGTGCATAACCTGATTTGGTTGAGTAATTACCAGACTTTTCTTTTAGCTAGAAGATCTCATCATCCAAAGAAACATCGCTTGTTACCAGCTTCCTGATATGGCCTTCATAAGCCGGCACGCGACGCTTGATTTCCTCGATGTTCCATACCGTAGAATTAGGTAACATAAGATCACTAACCAGTAGCTCCTGGTCGTGCTCCAGAGGGGGGCCTATCGGACAAACTTGGTGCTCAACCGAGAGCCAATTATCTTTCCAGACCTTAATACTCCTCCCATTTCCTACAGCCCATCCCATACCTTGTTTAATAATTTCTCTACCTGCAAGGATCCCGCGCCATCCATGGGAGGCAGAATTTGGCGCAGAGCAGGAGAGTAAGTCGGTGTCATAGCAGTATTTATTGAGCAGGATTGATCCCAGTAAAGACGAGGGATTTTTCAGTAATCTCCAAGTGTGTTTTGTGAGAAGCGCATCATTGAACACTTCTATTTCCCGAAAACCCAGCCCCCCTGCACTCTTTGGATATGTCAATCTATCCCAGGAAATCCAGCTCATTTTCCTTAGCTCTGGCTTCACATCCCACCAGAAACGGGTGAGAACCGACTGAATTTGTTTGCAAAGCGAAATAGGGAGCTTGAAACATGACATCGTATAGGTGGGCATAGCCGCAAGTACTGCTTTCAGCAGGACCATCTTCCCGGCTCCAGATAAATAACTACTCGTCCAGCTTTGGGCTCTTTGCCTTATGCGATCAATAATCGAAGAGAAAATATCTCTTTTCTTACGTCCAAAATGTTCGGGCAGACCAAGGTATTTACCTATGCCTCCTTCGCTACTGATATTAAGCTCTCTCTTAACCCGGGTTTTGCACTCTTGGTTGGTCTTTGAAGAGAAGGTAATAGCAGATTTGGTTCTATTGATTAATTTGCCCGAGGCACGCTCATATTTGCTCAAGATGGTGGTCAACGCGAGGCAACTTGAAGCATTAGATTTGCCAAAAAACATAGTGTCGTCTGCGAACAACAAGTGATTAATGGGTGGACAGTGACGACCAACTTTCACTCCAGGAAGTGACCCGTCTTCAAGGGCCTTATTGCACAGTCCCGATAGTACCTCCGTACACAAGATAAAGAGGTACGGGGATAGTGGATCACCTTGGCGAATTCCACGGGTTGGTATCACTCTCCCTTGATGTCCTCCATTGATAAGAAAGGAGTATGATACTGATGAAACACATGCCATAACCCACTCAATCCAAATAGCATGAAAGCCCATCCTCTTAAAAACTTCTCTCAAGAAAGACCATTCAATCCTATCGTAAGCTTTACTCATATCCGTCTTTACCGCCATAGAAACATGCTTCTTAGCGCCCGATTTCCTCAAGTAGTGTAGAACCTCATGGGTAATCAACACATTGTCAGAGATAGCTCTCCCCGGTACAAAGGCCGACTGAGAAGGAGAAATCAAGGTCTGAAGCAGCGGTTGTAGTCTTTTTGATAGGATCTTTGCGATGATTTTGTAGTGAGTGTTGCACAACGCAATGGGACGATAGTCCGAGACGCTTTTGGCTCCCGTCCCCTTGGGGATCAACCTAATGTGAGTTTCATTCTGTCTCGGGTGTAAGAAACTTGTCTCAAAAAACCCCCTGATGTCCTTAAACACATCGTCTCCTATAACATCCCAAAAGGTCTGATAAAAATCTGCAGAGAAACCGTCCGGACCCGGCGCTTTATCTGAATGTATAGAGAAGACAGCTTGTTGGACTTCTAATTTTTCTGGAATTCTAATCAGAAGTTCATTCATCTCGGGAGTAACTTTTGGTGTGATCGCTTCAGCCACCACAGCCACAGGGTCGGAGAAACCCGCAGTAAAGAGATGCTGATAGAAGAGGGAAAACGCCTTGACTATATGGTCCTCTTCAAAGTGAGCCTTTCCTGTCTCGTCCTCCACTATGGAGAATTTATTACTCGCCCTACGGCCTCTGGTCACAGCTTGAAAGAAAGCGGAGTTACATTCTCCCCCATTTAGCCACTGAATCCGACTTCTTTGATGCCAGAACGCCTCTTCCTCTGCATAAGCTGCTTCAAGGATGGATTTGAGTTCCAGTATACGATCAGCATCAGGATTTAATTCAGACAGAGAGAGCTCCAAGAGAGCTTGATGAGAGCTGATATGGTTTTTTGTGAGAGCTGCTTGTTCCTTTGCCCATTCAATCAAATTTCTCCCTACTTGATTGATCTTTGTTAACACCGAATCAGTGTCGGAAGCTTTCCAAGTGGTCTCAATAATTTTCCTGATCTCTGGTTTCCCACTCAATCTCCTGTCATAGCGAAAAGATCCTTTTTTCTTGTTCAGGAATTGGTCAAAGTGAGTAAGTAGAGGCCTGTGATCTGATCCCTCGTACCGTAGATATTCACTTCTAGCTGCAGGGAATAACTCCATCCACTCAATATTAGCCATAGCTCTATCGAGACGAGATTGGATGAAATGGGAGTATCTAGTGCCCCGCCATGAGAGGGAATTTCCTGAGAACTGGAGATCCCAAAGCCCATGTGTAGATACAAAATTCCGGAAAGATAGGAACGAGCCTTCCCATCTCAGCGGACCTCCGACCTTTTCTGAGTTATCAAGTAGGTCATTGAAATCACCGGTGAGCAGCCATGGCTCCGATCTCCCTAGCCTGATACCTGTCATAACTTCCCAGAAACGCGGTCTATCTTCTTTATTGGGGGCTCCATATATGAATGATACATAGCACTTCTTCTGATTAAATTCCACACATGTATCGATTACATTAGGAGAAGAAAAGAGAATTTCCAGATTTACATTATCTTTCCATGATAGCGCTAAGCCTCCGCTCAACCCCACAGGGGGGACTGTGAAGTGATTATTAAAAGCAGAGCCTCTGTACATTTGGAACACATCTTCATCTTTTCTTTTGGTTTCCATCAGGAACATGATATCCGGGGAGTTCTTGAATCTAAACTCCTTCAGACGTCGAACTGTCAGGTCGCTCCCAATACCTTGACAGTTCCAGCTCATCGAGACTAAGGAAGAGGTTTTGGAGCGGACCGAAAATCCGTTCCTCTCTTCTTCGAAGCTGGAATTAACGTGGTACGCGGTTGGGACGATCCCACATTAGTGGATGGTCCAGCTCCTCGGCTTCATGTTTCTTTGCTAGGTCTTCGCTTAGGGGAGGCATGAACCTTAACTACCCTTCTCCTCTTCACAGTCGTTCCCTAAGATTGGCTTCCCTGACCACGTTTAAGAGAGGGCACGTTAACTGTTGTATTCCTCCCTGAGCGTGTATCCATTCTAGCTGGCGCTGGGTCTTTTGCCTTTAGATGGGCTTCCACGTTTTCTTCTTCTTCAGAGACAAAAAGAGGTCCCAATCTCAAGGAGACATGAACCCTGTCTTCGCTGAGAGTTCTGATTGGAGACCGGTCTTGTGAAGCATCATAACGAGTCTCAGTGATCGCAGCTGGGTTCCGTGAGGAAGAAGCAAGGTTTCCAAAAGTTGGAGTAGCAGCCGCTTCCTCCAGCGCTTGAGGGTCTACCTCTGTAAGTCTCCCAGACGCCGGGTTTGCTTCCCCATCCTGTAGAATAGGAACTCGCTCACTTGGTAGGGAAAGTCGGTGAAGAGCAGATCTTCTTTCTTGGGATGGAAAAGAGTCTCCACCAGAAACAATTCTAGCTGCTGGAGATCTCTGAAAGGTACCCGAATCACCTTCTCTCTGAGGTCTTGGAGATGGTGTGTGAGATACCAAGGAATGGGCGTTATTGGAGATTGCCCCATGTTTGGATCCACTGCCAATGGATCTCCACTCTACAGTTTGGGCCCTTGCCTGATGTCGAGAGTGAGATTCTTTACTTTTAGCACTTTCATTGTTCTTTGAGAAAGAGAGTCTCTCTCTAGCAGGTCGGCGACTACTGAGGCCTGAGTCCTCACGTTTAGAGACATCTGCTTTAAAGTTTGGGTCTCTTCGAGCACCATAGTTGTATCGGAAGGACTTATCATTTTGCCAATCCACATCCCGGGATGGTGGTCGTTGCCATTGGGAGGAATCCGATCTAGCACGTCTCGTTTCCTCCGCTTTACGCCTCTCTGTTTCAATTCTTCCAAGAGTACGAGACTGAGAGATACCCATATTAGAGTCAGCTTCTCGATGATTCACGTAAGCACGTTGAGAGGGGCAATCAGCTTTATCATGAGCTAGAGAGAAGCAAACAAAGCAATGCTTTTCCAAGCCTTCATATTCTAGTTCAACTTGTTTGATCTCACCAGAAGGTGTAGCAACATCAAGTTTTATTTCCAACGGCTTCAATCCGTTTATGAGAATTCGGACTCTTCCTCTGTCTACATCATAAGCCTCCACTGGACCTAGTTCATTTCCGATAGTTTCGAGCGCAGCTTCCGTCCAGAAGTTGAGTGGGAGTCCGTGGATCGTAATCCAAAAGGGGATGAGAGCAGGGAAGAAATCAGACACAATAGGTTCTCACCGCTGAAGAATTATCATCCATCGTTTAAAGTGAAAGGGAGCTTTTGAGAGAATGGATTGAAGATCTTGTTCCGAGTCGAATTTGAACTGGAAAAGGTCGGGGCCTAAGTCTCTTCCCGTGATGGTGCCTGATACTTTCCAAAGCTGCAGAAAGAAGTCAACAAGAGCTCGAGTTTTTTGGATCTTCGGATTAGTAACTCTGCCAATGAGCGTAAACTTGTTTCCTTCAATGAGAGCAGATGTGTTCACTTGTGGAAGTCTTATCGGGGGACGACGAGATTCTTTTGGTGGCTCAGAAATCCATTTTCCTTTTTCTAGCCTCGATTTGCGGTAAGCCATTTAGAGACTGGATGAGAGTAAAAACAGGGTTGGGCAACGACAAAAACTACAGTGCAGCAGTAACTCCACAGAGGAGGTAGAAACCTTAGTGACAAGGTAAATATTAACTGTACAAGACAGTAAGGAGAGGACCAATTGGAGCAGTGAAGTTAAAAAGCTCAGCCATTACGGTAGAAGCATTAATAACTTTTACTTTCACAGCAACATCTTCCCAACCAGATCTATATTAACTGCTTCATCAGAAAACATTTATAAGACCATGGGGAGAATGTCTGTGCTCCAAGGAGAAAAAAGGTGGACCAGATCTACTTCACCGGAAGTTAGGTACGGTGGAGATAAAATATCTAACGGCAGAGAGGGGGTGGAGCGTCGGTGGTTTTTGAAAAAGGTAGCTGAGATAGGGAGACTTTGGGTTTCGTGCCTGGGAGCATTTGAGTTTTTAGTTTGCGATCATTTAGGATCTTTATCTTTACCTTCACTAAAGATACATTTTCACAATTACTTTCTTCATTAAGAGGCACAAGACTCTTATACCCTTTCTATATATATATATAATAATTCTTTATCTAAATAAATGAAAAATAATTTTTAATACTTTTTGAATATATGTTTTCAAATTAAAACTTTTTTATAAATTATTTTTTCAAATTTTTTTTGAATTTTTTTTTCAAGTTTTCTTTTTGAAATTCAAAAATTATTTTTGAAACTATTTTTTTTATTTTAAAAATATTTATTTATGTTACGTCAATATCATGTTACGTTTGCGACGGATTGCATTCAGTTGGTGACGATGGTTTCTGCACCTGAGGAATGGCATGCCTTTGCGAATTTTGGAAGACATCAAGATCCTTTAAGAGAGTTTCAATCACTCACAGATCATCCATATTCCACGGACGCTGAATACCAAGGCGGACAGACTGGCACGACGTGTCAAGAAGCAATCGTCTTCCGTCGGCCATATGGATACAGTGTTACCAGAGTGGTTTGCTGAGTCTACATAGAGTATGTTTATGTTGATGACAAAAGAAAAGAAAAAAATATTTATTTATATATTTATAATCCTAAACTCTACATTCCATAACCTTACCCCATCCTTCGACTTTAAATCCTAAGTGTTAGATTAACCTAAGTCTTAGATTAATTAACCCTAGGGTTATAACTGTTTTTGTACTCTTTGAAAATGAAGATCAAAGTGGTTAATTTAAATATGAAAAATGGTATTAGAAATGTGATATTTAAAATAATTTCTCTAAGAATTTCGAATAATTTTAGATATCAAACAGTGTAAAAGTTTTGAAAATATTGTTAGTAATAAAATTATATAATTATAAAATAGACTTATATAATAATATTTTATATTTCTATTATTATATAACTTAATTTTATACTTAAATATATTTATTTTAACAATGATATATTAACTATCTACATATTTTAAAATTTTACCAAAAATTTAAATTTACATTAAATGTAATTGTGATGTTGTATTTATTCATAAGTCATGTTATCAGTTCTAGGACGTTATTTCATGCTATATTATTTTGGTGAAAATGATTGTAAAAATGAAATGTGTCTAATCACTTCTCAAATAATACTTAGGATATAGATAATAAGATGACTAACTTTGATTAGTATGAGGCCTTTTGGGAAGAAATCTAAAAAAAAAACTTTTTTATTAGAGCCAAAGTGGATAATATTGAATGATAAAAATTTGGACATAGATCTTAACAATCCTAATGATTAGGTATCATAGCGGAATGACGATTAATATTTAAGAAAACTGAAACACCTTTCAAAACAGAATTGGGAAAATATGTGGTAGAGATCAGTCAGAAAATCTTTTGAGAGGAAAAATGAGAGATGTCAATCCAAGTTTTGACAAATAACTTTTAACATA